TTGTGCTCTTTCACACTTTTTGAGGTATGCATTTAATGGTATGAACTTTCATCTTAGCATCACTTTTGCTGCATCCCAGAGGTTTTGATAGGTTTTGTCACTATTATCATTCAGTTCAAGGAATTTTGAAATTTCCATGTTGATTTAATTGTTGACCCAATGATCATTCAGGAGAAGGTTATTTAATTTCCATGTATTTGCATGGTTTTGAGGGTTCCTTTTGGAGTTGATTTCCAACTTTATTCCACTGTGGTCTGAGACAGTACATGCTATGATTTCGATTTTCTTAAATTTGTTGAGACTTGTTTTGTGGTCTATCGTATGGTCTATCCTGGAGGATATTCTAGAGGCTGATGAATAGAATTTATATTCTGCAGTTGTTGAGTAGAATGTTCTGTAAATATCCGTTAAATCCATTTGTTCTAGGGTATAGTTTAAGTCCATTGTTTCTTTATTGACTTCCTGAGTCTTGATGACTTGTCTAGTGCTATCAGCAGACGGCTAAAGTCCCCCACTATTAGTGTTGCTATCTATCTCATTTTTAGGTCTAGTAGCAATTGTTTTATAAATTTGAAAGCTCCAGTGTTAAGATGCATATATATTTAGGATCGGGGTATTTTCCTGTTGGACTAGTCCTTTTACCACTACATAATGTCCCTCTTTGTCTTTTTTAACTGTTGATGCTATAAAGTCTGTTTTGTCTAAGAATAGATACTGCTGCTCATTTTGGGCTCATTTCCACCCTTCACTTTAAGTTTATATGAGTTTTCATGTGTTAGGTGAGTCTCTTGAAGACAGCAGATACTTGGGGTTGATGAATTTTTATCCATTCTGCCATTCTTTGTCTTTTTTTTTCTTAGACTAATGATTACATTTACTGTATTCCTAATGTTTCCCTATACATGACATATATTGTCTTTAATTTTTAAATTATTATTATACTTTAAGTACTGCGATACATGTGCAGAATGTGTAGGTTTGTTACATAGGTATACATGTGCCATGGTGGTTTGTTAAACCCATCAACCCATCACCTAAGTTTTAAGCCCCTCATGCACTAGGTATTTCTCCTAATGCTCTCTCTCCCCTTGGTCCCCAACCCCCAACAGGCTCTGGTGTGTGATGTTCCCCTCCGTTTCCATGCATTCTCATTGTTCAACTCTCACTTATGAGTGAGAATATGTGGTGTTTGTTTTTTTTTTCCTGTGTTAGTTTGCTGAGAACGATGGTTTCTGTATCTTTTAAGTGGAGCATTTAGGCCATTTACATTCAATGTTAGTATTGAGAAGTGAGGTACTCTTTTATTCATTATTCTAGTTGTTGCCTGAATACCTTTTTTTTAAATGGTTACTGTTTTATAGGTCCTGTGAGATTCATGCTTTAATGAGATTCTATTTTGGTGTATTTCAAGGATTCAAGACTTAGAGGTCCTTTTAGCAGTTCTTATAGTGCTGACTTGGTAGTGGCAAATTCTCTCAGTATTATTTGTCTGAAAAAGATGGTATCTTTCCTTCATTCATGAAGTTCAGTTTTGCTGAATACAAAATTCTTGCCTAATAATTGTTTTGTTTAGGGAGGCTAGAGACAGGACCCCAATCCTTTCTAGTCTGTAGGGCTTCTGCTGAGAAATCTGCTGTTAATCTGATAGGTTTTCTTTTATAGGTTATCTGCTGCTTTTGCTTCATAGCTCTTAGGATCCTTTCCTTTGTCTTAACTTTAATAACCTGAAGACTATATGTTTAGGTGATAAATTTTTGGGATGAATTTCCGAGGTGTTCTTTCAGCTTCTTATATTTGGATGTCTGGGTGTCTAGGAAGGCCAGGGACGTTTTCCTTGTTTATTCCCTCAAACATGTTTTCCAAACATTTTTTTTGAGAGAGTCTCACTCTGTCACCCAGGCTGGAGTGCAGTAGTATGATCTCGGCTCAGTGTAGTGGTGTGATCTCGGCTCAGTGCAACCTCTGCCTCCCGAGTTCAAGCAATTCTCCTGTCTCAGTCTCTCTAGTCGCTGGGACTACAGGCACCTACCACCATGCTTGGCTAATTTTTGTATTTCTTTTAGTAGAGACGGGGTTTTACCACATTGGTCAGGCTGGTCTTGAACTCCTGATCTCAGGTGATCCATCTGCCTCGGCCCCCCACAGTGCTGGGATTACAGGCATAAGCCACTGAACCTGGCCTTTTCCAAACTTTTAGCCTTCTCCCTCAGATAACTGGGAACACCAATTATTCTTTTTTTTTTTTTGTCTTTATCAGATTGCATAATTTGAAAGCCTTGTCTTTGAGCCCCAAGTTCTTTATTCTACTTGTTTGATTCTATTGCTGAGACTTACCAGGCATTTTACATTTCTCTAAGAGTGTCCTTTATTTCCAGAAATTGTGAATGTGTTCTATCTATGCTATGTATTTCACTGCAGATTTTTCCACTCATATCTTTTTTCTTTTTTAATTTCTTTAAGTTGGACTTAACCCTTCCCTGGTATCTTCTTGATTAGCTTAATAATCAACATTCTGAATTCTTTTTCTGGCAATTCAGACATTTCTTCTTGGTTTGGATCCAGTGTTGATCAGCTTACATGATTTTTTGGGGGGATGTTAAAGAACCTTGTCTTGTCATATTACCAGAATTGTTTCTCTGGTTACTTCTCATTTGGGTAGACTATGTCAGAGGGAAGATCTGGAACTCTAAGGCTGCTCTTCAGATTCTTCTGTTCCATGAGGTGCTCCCTTGATTTGGTACACCTCTCCTTCCCCTAAGGATGGGGCTTTCCTGAGAGCCAAACTGCAGTGATTGTTATTTCTCTTATAGATCTAGCCAACCAGCAGAGCTACCAGGTTCTGGTTGGTACAGGGGAATTTCTGCAAAGAGTCCTGTGATGTGATCTGTCTTTAGGTCTCTCACCTGTGGATACCAGCACCTGCAACTGTAGAGGCAGCAGGGGAATGAAGTGAATTCTATGAGGGTCCTTGGTTGTATTTTTGTTAAGTGCACTGGTTTTGTGTTGATTAGCCTGCAGCGAGGAGGTGGCACTTTCAAGAGGGCATCAGCTGCAGTAGTATAGAAAGGATACAAGCTTGCCCTAGGGTCGGGCAGTGGGGAGGCCTATAGCGCTCCCAGGAGATTATGTCTTTGGTCTTCAGCTACCAGGGCAGATAGAGAAAGACCATCAGGTGGGAGCAGGGTTAGGCATGTCTGAGGATTGCTGCCGCTGCTGTGGTGGAGGAGGGTGTGCTCCCCAGGCCAATGAAGTTACGTTCCCAGGGGGATTATGGCTGCCTCTGCTGTGTCACACAGATCACCAGGGAAGTTGGGGAAGGCTGGCAGCTAAAGGCCTTACCCAGTTCCCATGCCACCTGCAGCCTGAAGGGCTGGTCTCACTCCCACTGTGCCACTACAACAGCTCTGAGTTTATTTCCAGCAGGGCTGAGAACTTGTCCCAGGCTTCAAGCCTCCCAGCTGAGAAAGCCAGATGACTCACAGTTCCTTGGCAGTCTCCTAGAGCCTTCAGCAGCAATCCAACTCCTTCAAAGGGTCTGTGGATCCTCTCAGCTTTCCTGGAATGTTTCTGTGGTAGTTCTTGTAGCAAAAGTTCACAATGTGCAACTCCATATACTGCTCTGTCCATCTGAGTGGGAGCTTCCAAGTTAGTCCTACCTCCTATCCACTATTTCCTCTCATTCTCTTCTGTTTTTGTGTCTTAAGATGACTATGGCTACATCTTCTTCTTGTTCAGTGGACTAACGTGTGTGTGTGTGTGTGTGTGTGTGTGTGTGTGTGTGTGTGTGTGTGTATTATTGGTTTTTTTTTTTAGGTTGTGAAGTTTCACTGAATATAAGTTTCTCTGGGTCCCTAATTCGTAGAAATGGTTATTCTCTTTTTCCTTGTCAATTTGTAATTTCAATTTTCATTTCATTTTTGATTCTGGAGTTTTCTGAAATGCAATTCTGAATTTCCAAAACATTAGAGGTGGTGGTAATGTCACCATATATTGATTTATTTCCTGTTTCTATAGCTTATGATCAAAAAACATGGCCTGTTTACATAGCTTTCTTTTTGAATTTGCTAAAGTTTAAATTTACTTAGTGGCCAAGAACAATTTTGGTAAATGTATCACTGACTTTTATCTATTTTTTTTTTTTTTTGAGACAGAGTCTTGCTGTCACCAGGCACCAGGCTAGAGTGCAGTGGCGCAATCTTGGCTCACTGCAATCTCCACCTCCTGGGTTCAAGCAATTCTCCTGCCTCAGCCTCCCAAGTAGCTGGGACTACAGGCACGTGCCACCAGGCCCAGCTAATTTTTATATTTTTTAGTAGAGATGGTGTTTCACCATGTTGGCCAGGATGGTCTTGATCTCTTGACCTCATGATCTGCCCACCTTGGCCTCCCAAAGTGCTGGGATTAGAGGCGTGAGCCACCGCGCCCAGCCTGAATCACTGACTTTTATAAAAAGCATGCACATTCTCCATTTAAGGGATGTAAAGTCATATGTCTACTAAATCTAGTTTGTTGTTTATTCATTTCCTCCATATGTATATAGCTTTATATAATGCCCTTCTTTAAACATTTGGTGCTTTTAACCTTAAATTATAACTTATCTAATATTTGTAGTGATGTCTACATTTTGTTTATAGTTGTCTGATATCTCCTTATCCTTTAATTTTTTAACTACTTAAGAATTTTGTAAAGTGTTTTAAAATATTTTAACTTAAAGTATTTCTGAGAAACAGCTTTTAGCTTTATTTTGCTTTTTAAACTAATCTGATAATATATGATTCTTAATGAAAGAAATCAGCCTGTTCACCTTTTGGTAGGACATCTGATATACTTGGTATTATTCCTTATTTATTTAATGTCATAGTTTCTTCTTTTACCTTTATTTTTGCTAATGAAGTTGCTATTCATTTCCCTCTTGTCAATTAACTGTCTAAAAAAATTTAGCAGCCATTCTATATATTTCTAGCTAATTTTTTATTTTTCATTTTTTTATTTTTAAAATGAGCCCTGCCTAAGCAAGATATCAAAAAATTCAGTTATAACTCATAATTGTTCCTCTCCACAGAAATCTTTAGTAAAAGGTGAAAGATTTGTTATGAAGAGAAACCAGAGCATCTCAGCTTGTTTATTATTATATATTTACATTTAATCATACACATAATGCAAGTTTCATAGGTTTCCCCTCCTCTTCATCTTTTATGTACCTTTAGATTTTATTCAAATATATTTGTTTTTCGATTAATGTTCTTTCCTGAGTATTTTTTTTCCTGAAGGGAAATGGGGCAAAATATTTCTATGAATCTTAACGCAAAGACATTTTTCTGACAGACTGGTTAAGTTTGGATTCCTGGGTTGCAATACTTCTTTTTTAACTTTTAGATAATTTTTTGTTGTTTTTTGAGACAAAGTCTCACTCTGTCACCTAGGCTGGAGTACAGTGGCACAGTCTCAGCTCACTACAACCTCCACCAAGTGATCCTTGTGCCTCAGCCACAGGAGTAGCTGGAATTACAGGCACCCACCACAGCACCCACCAGCATGCCTGGCTAATTTTCGTATTTTGAGTAGAGATGGGGTTTTGCCATGTTGCCCAAGCTGGTTCCGAACTCCTGAGCTCAAGATCCACCTACTTTGGCCTCCCAAAATGCTGGGATTACAGGGTACAATACTTCTTTCTTGTTAGTAGGTATCATTCCAGTGTTTTCCAGTGTCTAAAACTACTGATGAGATGTTTTATCTTTGTGAATGGTAAATTCTTTACCATTGGAAGCTTTTAATAATTTCTCTTCATTGCTAGATAAATTTACTAGTTATACACACTTTCATATATTTTTTATCAGTCTTCTCTGGACTTCAGTGAGCCCTCTGGTCTACGAATCCAGGTCTTTCTGCAATTCTTTTTCTTAATTACTGTTTATTTTTGTTTTGTTCTCCCTCTGGAATTATTATTGCCTGCTAGATCTTTTGAATCTACCCTCCTAATCTCTTATCCTTTCCCTTATATTACTGGACTTTTAATTCTTGTTTTTTGAGTTGTGATATTTAATTTGATCATTTCATTCATTATTCAATACTTCAGTTCTGGATAACACTACTATAAAAACTAAACAAAATTCATGGACAGCTACTTGAGGACTCTGAAAAGTAAATAGTCGCAGGCAATCCCATGACAGAGATGGCTACAGCTAGAAGCAGTGGCCTGCAGAAGCCAGAACTCTGAGGGAGGGAAATTGTTTTCTCTGTTCATCTGAGCTATGATCCCAAAAGGGTGGAGGCAATCCCCATTGCTTAATACCTCTCTTTTCACTTCTGAGGCCAAACTTGGTCCTAAACATGGAAGTATGTGGCAGAACAGGGTAACTGGAGCCTAAAATTTCTGGCTGGATGGCCAAAGTAGAGAGTCTTAGAGAATTAGAAGGTATCCAAGAGATCACAGAGAAGAAGGAGCTCAGGAAAGTGATCCCGTAAAGTTGTTTATAAACTCCAGAACTCATCCCTGAGTGAAGCATGCAGAGATCTAACCCTGAGTAATATACAAATGAATCTGAAAGTTGAGCTAACCCCTTAGGTCACAGACTGACCACTGAATGGCATACACTTGGGGCAGATCTGAAGAGACTTTGAAAAGTGAACTAACATTAAAACTACAGTCCCTATAAGTAGGTAGGTTCTTGTAGCCTGAAGAACTTTGCCAAGTAAATGTTAAAACAAAAACATCAACATTCTTCATAGGATTAAAATAAGAGCCAGAATCTTATAAGAGTTTTCAAAAAGTCCAGGATGCAATCCAAAATTTCGCTGTATATAAAGAACCATGAAAATTTCAACTTGCATGGGAAAAGACAATCAAAAGAAGCCAAAGCCGAGATGACACAGGTGTTGAGATTATCTGATAAAGACTTCAAGGCAAACATTGCAAAATGCTTGAACACGACCAACACTGGCATGGTGGTTGAAGCCTGTAACCCCAGTGACTCCATGTGAAGCTGAGGAGAGGGGGATCGCTTCAGCCTGAGAGTTCAAGACCAGCCTTGGCAACACTGTGAGGCCCCATCTCTAAAAAAAAAAAAGCTTGAGCAAGCCATTGTGCACACACTTGAAACAGTTGTTAAAATAGAAAGTCTCAGCAAAGAAATAGAAGACATAAATGAAAACCTAATGGAAATTTTAGTTTTCAATATAAAATTATTTTAACTTAATGTATTCACCAAAAGATTGGAGATGGCAGAGGAAAGAATCAGTGAACTTGAAGACAGATCAATTAAAATTACACATTCTAACAACACAGAGGAAAAGGTTGGAGGGAAAAAGAACAGAGCCTTAGGGACCAGAGGAATGATTATAAAAGGACTAACATTTATGTCATAAAGTTCTAGGAGAGGAGAAAAAGTGTAGTGTAGAAACAAATGTTGGAAAAGATGGCTGGAAAGTTCCCAAGTTTATGTAAAGATACAAGTCTACAAATTCAAAAACCAAATGAACCCTAACCAGGATAAATCCAAAGACATCTACAACCAGACATATCATAATCAAACTGCTGAAAACAAATGACGAAGTCTTCAAAGCATCCAGAGAAAAATGATAAATTACTTATAGGAAAACAATGATTTGAATGGCTGCAGATTCCTTTTCAGAAACCATTAGACCTACTCTAAAATAATTGATAAACAATGTTCTTCAGAGAGAAGAAAAAGATATAAGAAGGAAATTAGAGACATCAGGAATAAAGAGACAGCAACAGAAATGATAACTATCTGGGTAAATGTAATAGATTATTCTTTTCCTTAAAATATGATTGATGGTTGAAAAAAATTATAATGTCTGATGGACTACATAATGTATGTAAATATAAAATACAAGACAATATATATAGTGGAGGGGAAAGGGTGATAAGGTTTTTGAATGCCAATGAAGGAGTAAAACAATGAAATGATTCGAAGGAGACAACGAAAAGTATGTATTTTATAATTCCTAGAGTAACCACTAAAATTTTATACAAAGATACGGTCAAAATCATAACATATAAAATAGAAAACTAAATAATGTTTAAATAGTTCAATGAAAGGAGGAAAAGGAAAAAATAAATATGGAGCAAGTAGCACTCTTACCTACTAGTGGTGGGAATGGAAAATGCTTTTGGAAAACTGTTGGTTTCTTAAAAAGTAGAGGATACATCTAGTTGCTCCACTGTTAGGTATGAACTTAAGAGAAATAAAAGCATATGTTCATACAATGACTCATACATGAATTTTCAGAGCAGCTGTCAATGTATTAGTCCTGAACTAGAAAGAACTCAGATGTCCATGGACAAGTGACTAGATAAACTGTTGTATATCTGCACAGTGGGATACTCCACAGCAATAAAAAGGAATCGATACCTGCAATTAACATGGAGAAATTTCAAAATAATGTAATTATGCTGAGTAAAAGAAGCCAGACAAAAAAAAAATTTCATTTATATATTCTAAATATGCAAACTAATCTATAGTGACCTGCAGATTAGTGGTTTCTAGAGAAGAGGGTAAAGCAGAGAAAGAAGGGAGAGAAGGATTTTAAAGGACCATGATAACATTTGTAGGGTAATAGATGCTCTCTTGATGATGCTAATGGTTTCAAAAGTAAATATCTGTGAGAAGTCATCAAATTGTATATTCTAATTTAATGTGCAGTATATGTCAATTATACCTCAATAAAGTTGTAAAAAGTTTTTTAGAGGGTGTATATTGTGAACAATGCATATCAGTGTTCACACTTTTGCCTTTACATAATGACAAGGAAGAACAGTAGACATTTCCTATAAATAAAACGGAACTATATAGTTGTTTAGTTAAGCAAAAAGATCACTTAATGATGGAAATATCTATTTTTTTAATTTAGGCTGGTTGTGGTAGCACACACCTATAATCCCGGCACTTTGGGAGGTAAAGGCAGGAGGATCACTTGAGCCCAGGAGTTCCAGACCAGAATGGGAAACACAGGGAGACCCCATCTCTACAAAAAATGAAAAAATTAGCTAAATGTGTTGGCATGTGCTGTGGTCCCAGCTACTTGGGAGGAAAAAAAAATTTTGTTTTTAATTCTTAAATATTTTATTTGACTTAAAACATATAAGTAGTCCTCACTTTGCATGGTGCGATATGAATTTCAGTTACTACAGTTTATTAACTGTGAGAAATAGCATAAGTTTGCTACTAGCTTTTCATTTCACAAATTCTGTAAATAACATATGAATCAAAATTGGTGACCAATTTGCAATTTTACTTCTTTCAAAGTCTACGGGTGATTGGTCACTGTGCATGTTACTCAGTTCACATGCAGGCTGCAAAGCATGTAGGTTTCTTATTAATATTTCTGTGCCCTTGAATTAACCCACATGGAATTTTACAAATTAAAAGAGTAAATTGACCAAAAGAATGAAAGTGCACTCAAGAAGGGTGATAATACTAGAAGTGAAACTTGCATTAAACATAAACGGAGCAAAAGAAAATAATAACTGCCTGTGGGAACATGCTGATTGTGGGAACAATGACACTGTTGACATTGGAGACATTCTAGACATTTGGACTGAGGAAATCAATGAAGGTGAACTTAAAGACATAAATGAGGAAAAGTGGTTGTGATGAAAGGCTGCTGATCTGTCAGAGGAAGTGACACTGGCAAAAAAACACAGTAAAGGAACTCTCAGAGATATTTCACAACATTGAAAAGGTAAGGAATTAAATGTTGGAAACTAATATTTACATTTCTCCAGAACGCAGAACTCATATGCAACTGTGTTCTTCACTGTCCAAGTAAATATCTTCACAGGTTTCTCAGTTCATTTGGGCAAAATTAAAAGTAAAATTTGCTTCTTCCCTTTGGAAAACCCTCTCTCAGAGTATATTATCAACATTCAACTTCTTATACAAGACATAGACCTGGGAATCATTATCCATTCTTCACTTGTCCAATCAATTTCCATGGCCTGCTGATTATATTTCTTAGATGTTTTTCAAACCTCTCCACTTTCTTTATTGTACTTGGCAACTCTGTGGCCCAGGCCTCCATCAACTCTCTCCTGGACAAGTGTAATCATAAGTTACCGAACTTGGCTCCCACTTTGTTCTCAATTGCAACCCATTCGCCAAGCAGAGAACAAAATGCAATAGCTTTTACCATATTCTCATCTTCACACCTCTACCCAAGCACACAAGGCTCTTCTTCATCTTGTTTTTGTCTACTTCATCTCTTGTCAATGGTCCCTACCACAATTCTCCGCTCTAATCATTTCGAACTTTGTTCAATTCTTGACCTGTGTCCTCTGCCTTTAATATGCTGCCTGACAGAAGGAACTCACTAAATATGTAGACTGAATGAATGAACGAGTCCTTGGAGGGTAGTTATTCTCTGGAGTAACTTAAAAGAGAAGGAATACAGTAAAACGAAGCATTCTTATTTAGGTTTATAGTGTCTTCACCTGAGCGCGCGGGTGAACCCACCTGCCTGCAAGTTGTTACCAGTAAATAAAAAGCATCTTATTTTCGCAAGCAACACGGAAGAGGGTAAATCGAGTCTGGTGACAGGAAAGCAATCAGACGGGAAAGTGTGGGGAAAGCTTACAATTATTGGTCCAGATTCTAACTGGCCTGTTAGCCAAAAAGGTTTTCTTTACCTCCGTGTTGACGCTGCTCTCCGCAGGCGAAGAGGGTCCTCCAAACCGGTTTGTCGCGCGGACAAAAACCCCAGCATAGCGTGTCCTCACACCGGCGGTAGCACTGCACGTCGCCATGACAGAGCTCGGGAGCGGGGCTGGAACAGCAGATTCTCCCATTGGCCAGGCGTTGATATATCCGGCCAATGGTGAGCGCCGTTACTAGAAGGGCTAGAGGATGGAGGCGGGCCTGACTTCTCCGCCACCTTGGGCTGGGTGGACAGCTGGAGCGTTACCCTTACTGCGGTTCCGGCAGCTGACAGCGCTGGGATCTGGGTAGACGGTATGGGTTGGTCTCAGGATTTGTTCCGCTTCTTGTGGAGATCGCTGTCACGGGAGGTGAAGGAGCACGTGGGCACCGACCAGTTCGGGAACAAATACTACTATATCGCGGGGTACAAGAACTGGAGAGGTGAGGTGAGGGCAAGGGCAGTGATTGCGTGGTCAGTAATGGAGGGAAAATGAGAGCGCCTACTCAACTAATGCATCGTGCGACACTTAGGATGGGAATTTCCCGAGTTCGTTGGCCACTGTCGACCCCCTTCACTCCGGAGTCGGAGCCCTACCTGGCCCTGCCCTGGGCGCCTATCCCCGGAGGTCTGGCGCCTTGGCCCGACCTCGTGCGTCCGTGGTCACTGTGACCCAGCGTTTTCCCCCGGCGCACGAGCTGCTCGCGTTAAGACGCACACCCCTTTTCTCCCAGCTATCTCGGTAGAGGAGCCTCAGATTTAGTTCTCGACTGGCGCCGGAGGCGGGGAAAAATACACGGAAATCTTTTACCAAACGGTCTAGGGAAGGCCAGGGAAGGGGATTTTCGTACGCGGTGCCCCACTCCCCCCAACTTCCTTGTGCCCCCGAGCTGCGTGGTGTTATTGAAGAGGAGTATCTTAAGCTCCTCGTCTGTCCTCTTTGTTGGTGTTTGCCCTTTTCGTTGGCACCCTGGCTGCAGACCTGGCCCCATGCGCCTTACAACCAAAACTTCTCAGACGTAAGTCCATAGCCCCACAAGGCTCGCTGATTCCGTCCGTTCTCGGGAGTTTGCATTCCAAGACCAGGATGAGCTTAATTTAAGAAACACGGCACTATTCGTGGTATTTCTGTCTAGGATTCGTGCCAAGTAGTGGAGCGGGTTGTTTGGGGAGTAGGAGGCGTTGCTGTCCAGTTAAGTCACACTGTGTAGTCGCCGTCGTAACCTCTTCTGTGTTTTCCATCGCCACAGGCAGAAGATGTCAGGCTTCAGGCGAAGAAGGGTGGGTTAGAATCTCAGTTCTGACACCTAATAGCTCGGGAATCACAAAGTAGTTGTCGTCTCCAAGTCTCATAATCCTCACTTAAAAGGTAGAGCTAATCTAAGAACAGTAATGTTGAGAAGCACTAAGACCTTTCCAAAATTGTGTACCATTCATTTCCCACACACATAAAGCATATTCTGTGATTTATCACTCAAATTTATTTATTTATTTATTTTTGCCTAGCCTTTTCTGTAACTTATTTTAATATTTAGACTTGTTTCCCTAATGAGCTCCTTTGTCAGGCAGGGAGTATGTCTCACGAAAAAAGAAAAAAGCCCACAAATAACCTAGCGAGGTGTTAAGTATTTCTTGATGGATTTCAAGCAGAGAGAAAGATGTTTCTTTTCAATAAGTTGTCAGTAACATTTAAAAAAATGCATACTGTCAGATTTTTTTAATTGAAGTATAATTTACATACAGCAGCATTTACCCTTTATAGTACAGTTTTATGGTTTTTGACAAATTAGTACAAAGCAGCATCACCGGAATCAAGTAATAGAATAATTCCATCACCATCAGAATTTCCTGTAACTCCTTAGTAGTTCATTCCCACACCCTTTGGCAACCACTGATGCGTTTTATGAGCCTATAAATTTGCCTTTTCTAGAATATCATATAAATGGAATTATACAGGATTTAGACTTTTGACTCTGGCTTGCTTCACCTGGCATAATGTAGTTGAGATTCATCCATGTGTCAGTAGTTGTTCCTTTGTATTGTTCAGTCATACTCCATTGTATGGGTTTGCCAGTTTATCTGTTTACAAGCTGAAGGACATTAGGTTGTTTCCAGTTTCTGTGATTATGACAAAAGCCTCTACAAACGTTCCCATCCAGGATTTTGTGTGAACATAAGTTTTCATCTTTCTTGGGTAAATACCAAGTAGTGGGATTACTGGGTTGTGTGATCAATGTATATTTAACTTTATGAGAAACTACCAAACTGCTTTTTAAAGTGATTTTACTATTTTGTATTCCTGCCAGCAATGCATTAAAGTTCTAGTTGTTTCCACACCCTCATCAGCACTTAGTATTACCCGTTTTTGTTTGTTTCTTTTTTTGAGACAGAGTTTTGCTTTCGTTGCCCAGACTGGAGTGCAATGGCATAATCTTGGCTCACGGCAACCTCTGCCTCCCTGGTTCAAGTGATTCTTCTGCCTCAGCCTCCCAAGTAGCTGGGATTACAGGTGTGCATCACCATGCCCCACTAATTTTGTTTTTTTAGTAGAGACTGGGTTTCTCCATGTTGGTCAGGTTGGTCTTAAACTTCTGACCTCAGGCGATCCACCTGCTTCAGCCTCCCAAAGTGCTGGGATTACAGCATGAGCCACTGTGCCTGGCCAGGCCAGTATTATCCTTTTTTGTGTGTGTATTTATTTTTATTTTAGGCATTTTGATAGGTGTATGGTGGTATCTCATTGTGATTTTAAGTTTCATTTTCCTAATGCCTGAAGATGTTGACAGTCTTTTTATGTGCTTATTTGCTATCCACAGATCTTTGGTGAAGTATTACCAAAAGTTCAAACCTTTGCCCATTAAAAAAATACATTGAAGGCCATGGTTCACACCTATAATCCCAGCACTTTGGCCAGATCACCTGAGGTCAGGAGTTCCAGACCAGCCTGGCCAACGTGGTAAAACCCCTTCTCTACTAAAAATACAAAAATTAGCTGAGTATGGTGGCACGCACCTGTAATCCCAGCTACTATGGAGGCTGAGGCAAGAGATTCACTCGAACCTGGGAGGCAGAGGTTGCAGTGAGCCATGATTGTGCTACTGCACTCCAGCTTGGGTGACAGAGTGAGACTCTGTCTCAAAAAAAAAAAATGCACAAAAAAAACCAAAAAATACATTTATATAAGTTTTTTTGTGTCATTCATTTCTATAGAGATACAATATCATTAAAATTTCAAATTACTGGTCATGTCTATTCTATAATAACATGAATATTTTTATTTTTACATATTCTTAGTTACTCATTTGTATGTTTTCTTGCATAATTGTAATTGCATTTTGAGAGTTTTATTGAAGTATAATTGACAAAATAATTTGCTAATGCTTAAAATGCATAATTTGGTAAGTTTTGACATATGTATATATCTGTGAAACCATCAACACAATCAAGAAAGTTAACATATTTGGTATCCACAACAATTTGTTGTGCCCCTTTCTAATCCTGCCATATGCTTCTGCTTCCATGGATATCATCTGATTTCTGACACTAGACATTAGTTTGTATTTTTTGGAATTTTATTTAAATGGAAGCATATAGCACATATTCTGCTTTTTTTTAGGTTCTTCACTCAGCATAATTATTTTGAGGTTCATCCATGTTTTTGTGTGCATCAGTATTTTATTCCTTTTTATTTCTGAGTTATATTGCATTGTATGGATATAATATAATTTGTTTATCCATTCACCTTTCCTAGATATTTGGGTTGTTTTGGGTAAGGGACTATTACAAATAAATTATGAACATCCATGTGTGAGTCTTTTTATGATCTTAATTTCTTGCTTCCTTTTATGTGTCTTTCTGGGTTTGTTTTCAGGGTAATGCTGTTCCTATAAAATGAGTAGAATTGTGTTTCCTTCTTTTGAATTTTCTGGAAGAGTTTGTGAAGAATTTGTATTATTTATTTCTTACATGTTGGGTATAAATTGCCTGTGAAGCCATCTAGTCCTGGTGTTTTCTTTGTTGGAAGGCTGGAATTAAAAAATCAAAGATAATACATTTTTAACTTACAAATTCAATATCTTTAACAGTTATAAGACTACTCAGGCTATCTATTTTGTCTTAGGTGAGTTTTGGTAGTTTTCATCTTTTAAGTAGTTTGCCCTTTTTATCTAATATGTTGAATTTATGGTCATAAAGTTGTTGTAATACATCATTTTTTTAATATTTGTAGGATTTATAGTGATATCCTCTCTTTCCTGAATTGATAATTTGTGGCTATTCTTGTTTTCTTGGTCTATCTGATGAGTGGTTTGTTAATTTTATTGATTATTTTAGAAAATCAGCTTTGAGTTTCATTGATTTTTCTTTGTAAGTTTTTTTCATTGGTTTCTACCTTATTGCTTACTCTTATATTGTCATCGTTTTCTTCTGCTTTCAGTTGGTTTTATATGTTCTTATTTTTATAGTTTCTTAAGGTGGCCACTGAGGTCATAATTTGAGCTGTTTATTTTTTAATGTATTATTATACATTTTTAATGCTAAAATTTCTTGTAGTAACTGTTATGACCACATTTGACAAATTTTTATATTAAAATTTTTTTCATGCAACTTTCTTATTTATTTTGTCTATGACCCATGTATTTATTTAGAAGCCTGTTCTTTAATTTAAAAATATTTGAAGATTTTCTAGATATCTTCAATAACTTCTAGTTTAATTCCATTTTATTCAGAGAACATATTTTATATGATTTAAGTTATTTTAAATTTATTGTAAACTGTTTTGTGGCCTAAAAATATGGTGTGATTTGGTAAATGCTATGTTTGGGCTTCAAAAAAACATATTATATATATTTCTATTTTGGGTCGAATGTACTGTAAACATCATTTAGCCCAAGCTGCTTAATATAGAGTTGTTCAAACTTTCTATATTCATACTGATTTTTCTTTATACTTTATTGAAAAAAGTATGTTGCACTCTGAATATATGTATACATTTGTCTTTTATTCTTTCCAGTTCTGTTTTTGCTTCATGTATTTTCAATACCTATTGTTATGTCCTTACACATTTATGATTGAAAGATAGTAATAAAATTCACCCAAAATAAAACACAGAGAGAAAAAAGACCAGAAAAAAAAGAGCAATTGGCAAGCTGTGAGGTACCCTCAAGTGGCCTAATATATGTAACTGGAGACCATAAGGGATAAAGGTCATTTTGGAGACCTAAAATATTTGAAAAAATAATGGTAAAAAATATTCAAAATTTGATGAAAACGATAAACCAACAGACCTCAAAACAATAACAAATTACAAATCAAAGAAAAGTGTAGAAAACAACACCAAGGCATATTATAATCCAATTGCTCAAAGCCATTAATAAAGAGAAAATCTTTATAGAGCCAGAGGAAAATACACGTTACTTACAAAGGAAGAAAGATGAGGATGAGATCAGGTTTATTATTGTTTTTTTTAATATACATATATATTTTATTGCACTTTAGATTCTGGGGTATATGTGCAGAACATGCAGGATTGTTGCATAGGTACATGCATGGCAATGTGGTTTGCTGCCTCCATCTCCCCGTCACCTGTATCTGGCATTTCTCCCCATGTTATCCCTCCCTAACCTCCCCAACCCTTGCTGTCCCTCCCCTATTCCCCCACAACAGACCCCAGTGTATGATGCTCCCCTCCCTGTGTCCACATGTTCTCGTTGTTCGACACCTGCCTATGAGTGAGAACATGCAGTGTTTGATTTTCTGTTCTTGTGTCAGTTTGCTGAGAATGATGGTTTTCAAATTCATCTCTGTCCCCACAAAGGACACAAACTCATCATTTTTTATGGCTGCATAGTATTCCATGGTGTATAGGTGCCACATTTTCCTTGTCCAGTCTATCATCGATGGGCATTTGAATTGGTTCCAGGTCTTTACTATTGTAAACAGTGCCGCAGTGAACATATGTGTGCTTGTGTCTTTATAATAGAACAATTTATAATTATTTGGATATATACCCAGTAATGGG